GACCCAAAGGCAGAAACAGGGTAATTTGTTGCAATAGAAGTGTGTGATAAATAGACCAATAAAGGCAAGAAAAAATTTGGGATTTTCTCGTGATCAATAGTCCATGGACATTCAAAGAGTAATATTTTATATTTTTTGAACTTTGATTCCATCTTTGCACTGCACTACCTTTTTGGAGCAGGAGTTTTGATCTCAAATGCTGTGATTTTGGAATCTTGATTTTATTATGTATACTAGCGAGAAATGTGATTAAAATTGACCTTCCAATGATTTGATTCATTTAAAAATTTGTTTTTGATTGGGATGAAAGAGGATGTTTTATCCGTATATTTGACTGTCCTCTTTAAGTGGGATAAGGCTTGGTTGTTGTAGACAAAATAGAAAACATGAATATGTATTACGCTTTTAGAAAATATTTATCCTTTTATGGTGTCAAAGCTTGCAGTTTCTAATAATTTGTAAAGAAAAAACCTTTAAAAGCATTGGGAGATATAAATTTACCATATTCTGTTCAGACTAATGTCATTGTCTAACGCTGGGAGTTCTGCAATCAGCATGGTTCCATTGGATATGTATTTTAGCAAACAGTTGAATTTCTCATAGATTTAGGAATGTGAGGTTTAATGTGAACAAGGTTAAACACACGCAGAAAAACCAATTGGCATACAATGTCTTAAAATCAATAACAAGGACTTTTTTTTTCTTTATTATTATTATTATTATTATTTATTATTATTATTATATGGTGGCTCCCAGGAAACTTGAAGACAGTGAAGCTGCTGAGCAGTATTGTGCTGAGATAGGAAGGGCTGATGCATACATGCAGTTTGTCTCGACTTACCCTTTTAATGTTTTATTTTATTTATGCTGAGATTGTTTAACAAGTTCGTTTTAATGCTCTTTTTTTAATGTCCTCAGGTTGCTTGAAATGTATTTGGACCCACAAGATGGTAAGGATCCCATGTTTACTGCTGCTGTTCGCCTACTCCATAATCATGGAGAATCATTAGATCCGTTGCAAGTTTTAGAGGTACTAAACTCACTATATTAAGTTTTTAATCAAATCGTTCGCAACATCTAGATTCTGCTGTGTGCATATTTTGCACCCTACTCCACTGTAAATGGATAAAGGATCTGTTGACATGAAAATATGTGTACCTGTTAGGAATATCCTTACAGATAATGCCATGATTTGTATTTAATTAGCAAAGAAGGAAAAATATAAAGATGAATGTGAGCAATGCTCTTCCCCAAGACAAGATATATTTGGACTCCAATCAATTCCCAATTCCACAATGTCTCCTTCAGTTCTGATTCTCTCCCCTATAACAATTCTCTCTCCTTGAACTCACTCCCTTCTCCCTAAAATAGCTAATTCTGAATAGACACAAGTTTCCTTTTGGGCCTATGGGTATAGATAGACCTTGAAAGGCATCTCTTGATTGGGTTGATTCCTTGCATTGGAAGAGTTCCTTTAGATTATTAATATAAAAAAATGATTATCCCATATAAAGCCATCAGGTTTTAAACTTGTTCAGCCCTTTGGTAAGGATTGAAGGGTTGTATTACCTCCTCTCTTCTAATGTTGTTCTCAATAACCTCTTAGGTGAAGGTATATAGATGGTGTATTAAAAGTTCCTCCACATGCAAGATCATCTTGGGTTTGATGTTGGGACATCGAACAATGCAATTGTATGACTCAGATCATGTTGAAATTCAACACTTGTGTAGAAAAATAGCGGTTGCAACATATGAACTCTTGAGTTTGTCATGGGGTCTTTAATACCAATATCAGTGGTGTACTATCCCAAACCTCAAACTATTAGGTGATGTCTCATGAATAGTTTTATTATTTTTTATGAAACAGTTATATTATAAATTAATCAATGGAGCTGCATGCGCAAGCCACTCCGTAGGCATATTGAAAATGCTAAGTTTTATAATTGTCAGTGATGGATGTATCTTTCTGCAATTAAAGGACTCTATCTATTAAAATGCAGTTTGTCATTTTTTAACTATATTTAATTCATTTCAGAGTTGTTCTTAATTTTAAAGTTTTGGTTTTATAATGCAGAAACTATCTCCAGATATGCCACTTCAACTTGCTTCTGATACTTTACTAAGAATGTTCAGGGCCAGAGTTCATCATCATCGTCAAGGACAGGTACTTACCTGGTTTTTTTCCAGATGGATAGATTGTCCTAATCTCAGGTCTTTTTCCTACGTGATAGAGAAAGAAAAATTAAACTCCACTCAGGGTGTAGTGGCTTCTGTCAAAAATAATCAGTAATCCCACGTTATGAAACTTCTCTGGAAGTTCGGTTTTTGGCAAATATAACTGTTTTTTAAATGCTCATAGAACAAGTATGACTTATTTTTGTTAGATACTTTTGGTATAGTCTTTACAGCAAGCACCAGTTTGTATGGATGTAATGTAACCACCAAATTCAGTAATTTCTGAAATGAAACTAATTTTTACCAATAACTCCTATATGCCATCTTCCCCAGATTAATTTTTCTTTGTGCTCTGTAGTCTGACATTTCAAGGTTGATTTCTTCTTTCTGTTGTCAATCACGTATTATGGGCTTGTGATCTTAGTTAGAAATTCTTTCAGATTGTGCATAATTTATCTCGTGCTGTGGACATTGATGCAAGATTATCAAGATTGGAGGAGAGGTCAAGGCATGTTCAAATTGATGACGAGAGTCTCTGTGATTCCTGTGATGCACGGCTTGGTACGAAGCTATTTGCAATGTATCCCGATGACACTGTTGTATGTTACAAGGTTAGTTACTCGAGCTCTTCTCTCAATTCATGCCTCAAATAGAACTTTTGTCCCAAACTTCCATGTCTCACCACAATCTTGCTACGCTGTTGCCAAATGTTTGATTTTAGGACACTTGATCTTTATTCCTCTGCAACAGAGTAAATGTAGCAGCTAAACTTGTTTCTCCATTTCTTTATAGACCTTTCTTGAGCTCATCCATTTCATTCTCGAAGTAATGCTCCGTCATTTTTGTTAACTAATCTGTTTAGTATAAAACTTCAGCTACAATTTTTTTTCTCTTAAATTCATTGTTTACTGTTCATGCATTGAAAGAAGAAAATTTTCCTTAATAACATTAGCAAGTATATCAGGTTGACTTATATTTTGTTTATTTGTGCCTCATTTTTCTAGCACTATAAGAATTTAAATTTCTCACTTATGCTTTTCAATCCTTTGTAGTGTTACCGTCGTCAAGGTGAGTCAGTGTCTGTATCAGGCCGCAATTTTAAGGAAGACATCCTATTTAAACCGGGTTGGCTCGTGAGTAGATGATCTTTAAACTATGTCGTAACTAGATGCAACTATTGCTTGGTTGAATCCCAGAAGCAGCTTCCACTTCTTATACCAATCCAAATTCATTCAAAATTTGGAAAAGGAAATTGGTTGATGTAAAAAGCTTGGAGGATCAGGTTCTAACATTCTAAGCTAAAAGAGTAGAAGTTCATATAGTTATTATCCCATGATGTTACTGTAAATATCTGTTGAGTTCTCCATTGTACTCTCCATACCTTCATCCCCCTTCGGCAAATTTCTTTGTAAATTTGATGATGTAAAATGTAATTTTTTGCCCATAATAATCAGCTGTTTTAGTTCACACGTCAACATACTTATGTTTGCATCTCTCTAATACAGACAATGAGTTGTCTGCAAATATCTCATCTTGCACTCTTTACATTATAAAACGTTTCCTTTAAAATGAAGGAAAAAGAAGTTGAGGATAAAGAAAAATAATCACGTTAATTAGAAGACGGACGATTGTAATTGTAATTCATTTTAAATTTTATTATGTGCATGATTCTGTTACAATTTAATCAGCTTATTTCCTAATACACTTGATTATAAGGGTATTTTATCCTCTAAAGTGTCTCTTGTTAGGGCCGGGATGACAACAAAAAAACGTGTTTTTGCATATATCTGCAGGTAAGATTATTAATAATATTATTAGAAATTAATTGAATCAATTTTTATGAAATAAATATTATACTCCTTGGTCAACAATCATAAGGATAGATAGAATTTTTTTTCCCTTTCATTGTTATTTTCACTATTTTATTTCAATTCTTAAACTCTGCACATTATTTATATATTTAAAAAATATGATACATTCTAATTTTAAGAGAACATTACAATACACGTTTGCAACCCGCCCCTTTTTTTATTTTTTTATAAATGACATTGTTCAATATATCTCAAATAAAAATTGGATTAAACAATTCTGTAGAAATATATTTTACTTTAATATATTTGGTAAAATCCTCTTTTCTTATCGAAAAAGTATAGTATACTTTGACACTCTCCAATAAAAAACACCCTATACAACCATTATATTCATATTTTAATCATACTTTCTTTTATTTTTTTAATTCCAAATACTAATGTATATATATATAATAATTAAAGGGAGTTAAATGTTAACAATTATTTTTTAAAATTAATTCAATTTATAATTAATAGTTAAAAAGTATAATTAAAATGTAATATAATGATAATTAAGTTGGTTTTTTTTTCATGGATAAACATGAAGAATCGTCTTGATTTTTATAATCATGAGATTTTTAGTTCAATCAGAACTAAAGCAATAATCCACAAAACACTTCATTTTTTTTCTACACCTACTTGACATTAACAAAATTATATTTTTATTTTTAAATATAAAATAATTTAAGAAGAATTAAATAGAAAAATAAATATATAAATATGTTTAGATAATAAATAGATATAAAAAATTAAAAGATATACATATACTATTTTGAAAAGTTATACTTTTTAACACATTTTTTTATATTCATTTAATACTATTTTTTTAAAAAAAATATATATATAAAAATCCATTCTTTTATTAATTTTTATTCTTTTAATATCTATGATATAATGTGTAAAATGATTGTATGAATATAGACATGTATCACCTTACCATTAATCTACCATCTTTATTTAACTGCAAAGATAGTTTTAATCACATCCCAAACTCAAACTTTTCCACTTTAGTGCCAACTGAGTTAGGGTTACTGTTGAAGATCCTTCATCCTTGATAGCATCAACAGCAGCATCTTTCAAAATTTTCATTCTATGAATAATTTCCTTGCCTTCTTCTCCCACCATCAGCTTCCTTATGATCCTACTTATCTCTTCCCTTTCCACAATCCCATTCTCACTAACCCTAACCCTAAGAGCCACTTTCAAATCATCACTCAGCAGAACTGCATTCATCTTTTGCTCAGCAAAGAGTGGCCATGCAATCAGTGGAATCCCATGCACAACACCTTCAAGTGTTGAATTCCAACCACAATGGCATAGGAATCCCCCAATTGCACCATGACCAAGGATTTGAACCTGTGATGCCCAATAAGGCACCACCAACCCATGCCCTTCTGTTCTCTTCAAAAACCCATCTGGTAGAAACTCAAAAGGGTCCTCATTTCTGGCACCAATGTCTGAAATAATGCCAAACTTGTTAGGTGGTCTTAACACCCACAAGAACTTTTGGCCACTCAGTTCCAATCCCCAAGCAAGCTCTTTTATCTGTTCATGAGACAGTGTGCCACCACTTCCAAATGAAACATATAACACAGAATTGCATTGTTGTTTGTCCAACCATCTCAGATATTTTATGTCATTGCTGCTTCCCTCTCTGCATGGATCCTCTTGCACAAAGGGTCCCACTGCATAAACACAAGGGATTGTTCCTTTCTCCTGTTCTTCTTGCAAGGCTCTTATGATCCCTTCTTCCATCTCCAAAAAGTTGTTAACCAATATACCATCAGCTAAGTAGAATCTTTCATTGCCTTCAAAAATATGTTGTCAACATATATATTCATAATTAGTTTCATCACTCAAAAGATTCAAAACTTCCTTTTTTTATCAGCAACATAGAACTAAATAAATGTGACAAATTTTGAGGTATCCTAAACCCTATACAAAATTATAGTATTTTGACATCCAAAATTCACTCATATCCATTTCATTTCAGTATCCTTTATTACTTTTCACTTTTACTTTTTCTTTACAAAAAGTGTATTTTTTTTTCTGTGACTATTTTACTCTTAAATGAGTTGTTGTCAAATGGTGGTGACAAATATCCTTCTTCCTATTATTATGTTATATTCAATAGCAGATTACTTAAAGGATATTACAGATGTTTGGTTACAATTCAGTGAAACAATTCACATCTAAAACATTCAAAGCCTTAAATACAGATGTTTAAATAACCACTTTTACAACTTAAGTTTAACAATACAGATGAGTAGTCATGAATAAAATACTATTATAGTTACTGCATAAGTAATTGCTAATTCAAAATTGTCAAGTCAATACATCAATGTTCATTATAAAAGAGAGAAAACAAAAGTAGATTGAAGCTTTCATTACCTTCGAGAAATTGTTTATATGCTGCACCTGATCGATTCTGAAGAGGGTCGGGAAGATCAGTTCCATGAATCGGTATGCAACCAGGAATCTCTATAGGTTCTAGCAGGTCTCTGTACTCACAAGATATTGCCTTGTCAAGCATAGAAGAATACAAACAAAGCGACAGTAACATTGCTGTGGATGGAAAATATGAGTAGGACAACACATTGAGTTCTTTGCCAAAGGGTAGCACTTGTGTTATCAAACCATCAGAAATGATTGCAACAAGCCTTGAAGTAGCATGCAGTGCCTTCAATGCATCATAGATCAGAGGTAGAGAACGAGAGATTGTGACCTGAACTTGGATTGCAGGGTGAGTGTCATGTGGAAGATCCTCCAAGTTAACTGGTGGAAGGAACATCTGGTTTAGGGTTAAAGGAAGAGAATCAAAAAGGGCTTTGGTGTTGTTGCAGGGTGAACCAAATGTAGGGTTAATGCATGTGACATGAATATCATGGTGGAGATGAATCAGTCTCTTAGAGAACTCAAGAATTGAACGTAGATGACTGTATACTGGAACTGAAACTATTGCTATGTGAGTTTTGACCTCCATTGATTAACTATAATGCAGTTTTTCTCACCAAATATATTTCATGGTTTATGACAAAGCTGGTGAATTTATAGAGATGCAAGAGTTCTTCAGTTTGCTCATTCTCTCTCTCTATCTTTGAGTTTGAAACATCTTCTAATGTGTAAGTTTTGAGATATTGTATTGTAAAACCACCATTTTTTTCTTAAAGTTTGTGGAATTTAATGAAACTGATCCTACATATATTTTATGTTACAATACATTTCTATTTGAACTCTTTGAAAATGTGGAGTTATAGAAGAAATATTTCAATAAATAAATGTGATTAACTTCAACAACAAAAAATGAACTGACAGTATTTTATGAATGTGTGCAATTAGTTCACCCTAGTAAGAATGATGCTTGATATTTCATAACATCAATTACTTAATAAATAAAAAGTTATTCTCACATATATTGAGATAATCTCTATAACATTGTTGATGGCCTTAATGGTTTCCTTAAAGTTTAAACTGATGGGTATGCATGATAAAATATAGAATTTTAAATTTCTTAGTGATATTTAAAAAATATTATTTATTATTTTTAACATTGTTTTGTATATATTAAATTCGTGAAAAATATTTTGATGAATGAACTAAATTATGTTTTCCATTTTGGATTTCTCACCTATAATTTTTTGGATAGTTTAATTTTTAGGTTTTTTATGACTACGTTTTCCTGGCTTGTATTTTAATGTGGTACAAAACTTTGAAATGATCAAGTTTGATGCAATAGTATTAATTAGCTTAATCTATTATTAAACTCAGGACATCTCAAACTTGAGATATTAGACAATTTTTATGCCACTTTGTTAAAACTAGTGTTAGAGGTTCAATCTAAAATTATAATTAGCTGCGCATGACTTATATTATAAATAAAATTAGACAAAATGTAACTCATAAATAAAATTAGACAAAATTAGCACATAAATGATACTTAAAGTTAGCCCAATTGCAGCCTAGCATCATATAATACTATAAACCTGTAAAACATAGGATTGGATGTATTTTAATCCTTAAAATATGGATATGGATACTTTTTTTTGGGTGCATATATATATATATATATATATATATATATATATATATATATATATATATATATATATATTCCTTTTTTTCTAAAATTATTTTGCTTTTTTCCTGCTAAAATAAGTGTAATAAAATTGTCAAGTCATCAATGAACTGGATTGTCATATTAGCACTTAAGTTATTTGATATGAAATTAACTAAATCTACAAATTGATATTTAGTGTAAATAGTATTTTTATTTGATTAACTATAATTCAGCTTTTCTAAATATTCAAAACAGATAAGATTAGGATTGATTTAACGAAGGTTATTTTTATTTATTTTTAATATTTTATTTATTTAAATTAGTTTCGGTCTTTTTAGTAGCTGTTTCATGGTTGAATTTCATTAAAGTATATTTTGTTGTGTAATTCATGAAAATGAGATACCTTACCTCAATAGCAACAATGATTAATGGTATATCAAAAAGTTGGAATCTTAATAAAAAAGGGATCATATTCCTCTTGAAGCAAAACCACTTTTCTTTTTGTGATAAAGTACTAGTGTTTTATCTCTTCATACCTCGTGTCCTATAATTTGAGGATAGAAAACATTATGTTGGAAAGAAAGTGGTTATGAACCAGTCCTTCCTTTTCTGAGTTTTAACACAGGGTCGCATGGTCTCGCTTAAGCTAAATTCGCTTAAGTTAGATTGACGAGACAACAGTTTTAAAAGGATTCGCTCAGGCACCAAGTTTCACCTAAGCGAAAAAACTCTAGTGGCTCAAGCTTAGTTGCATGACATTGTCGCCAGGCGAGCAAAGTTTCGCGCAAGCGAAAATGTTCCCGTGGGCACCCTAAGTTTTAGCCGAAATCTCGCCTAGGCAACTTAGTTTTAGCTTAAGCGAAAAGGTTCTAGTGCATATCTCGCCCAGACGAAAAGGTTTAGCTTAGGCGAAAATACTGTCAGCATGCCACGTAAGGGCCTCTTAAACGACATTTGTCCAATTTGAAAGGAAGCCTCTATTTGTTTCAAGTTTTCAAAAATAAAGACCCAATTGAGACATAGGAGACCTATTTGAGATTCTGGATGAAAAAAGGGACCTACCAAAACATTAAACCTAAACAATAACAACATAAATTATTCACATTAATAATTAAGTTTGTACTTTTCCCAAATTATAGGATTCAAACAACTTTCACATATTAGTTTAAAAGGATGTCTTAAACAACAATCATATTTCTCAACAAGCTTTATAGTTAGTTTTACTTGTATAACCTATTTAGCTTTACATTTTAACAATATAATTTACTTGATGTCATAATGAAATAATTTTACATTAGTTAATATAAAAGTAAAAAGGAATTACAATATTCTTATTTTCGATACACCACAAGTTGCATAAGCTATCAAGAAAAATAAGATCACTAGTTTCACATCCAATTTTTAAATCTTCTAATGGAAGTTGATCAGCCAAGTAAATGTAAAAATGACCCATGACTCCAGTATGAAATTTGTTTACGTATATGGACTCTAGTGTTAGAATTTCACCATCTTTAATCTTGATAGAACCAGGTTTTGGATAACAAACCGACATTGCAACTAGGTAACCTCTTTCATTTTCTGCTGCTTTTCCTGTCCCATACTTTGGTGTTGAAGTACATAATACCCTTCCATCCTAATTTAATAAAATTATAAAGTTAGAAAAGATAGTTAAATCCTAATTCATTAAAATCTTAGATGTAACATACAAATCCTAATTCATTAACATACTCAATCATTAACATCATAAACATACAAATCCTAATTCATTAAAAACAAGTTTTAAATCTTGATGTAAAAATATTAATCTTAGATATTCAAATACAAGATTTACATTAAAAAGATATGTTTAGATTTAATCAATACCTTTGATCTATATTAGAGTTAAACTTCTTGATTGTTCTATTCATATTTATTTAGGTTTCAAAAACATTTTTCGACACTATGAAAATACATAAATATTCTATCATGAACATGAATAATAAAAATATAACGTAAAGAAAGATATTCTCCATTTATTAATATATATATATATATATATATATATATTTATAGATATATATCTATATAGATGTATATTATACGTATAAATATAAGACAAACAAAATTATCGTGTCTTCCCACTGCTGTCGTGCTAGTTTTAAATAATAAAATATTAAAAAGTTATTCATGTCTTAAAAGTATAATTAGGTGTTTGATCCGATTGAAATGCAGGTTGATATATATTTCATGATTTTCAATGAATAATATTTGAAGCAAAGGAAAGAAATTTTTTGCCAAGACGCTATTATTTTAATAACATGATTTTCATTCAACACCATTATTGTATAACATAACTTTCTTTCTCTTTCTCTGAACCCAACAATGGCTTCAAGTGGCGATGCAGCACCAGAGTTCTACCAAAACGTCGTCGTAATGCGTCACGGCGATCGCGTCGACAACTTCGAACCCATGTGGGTCACCTTCGCCACCCGACCCTGGGACCCGCCCCTGATCCAACAGGGTCGGGTTCGAGCCTTCGCCACGGGTCGCGAGTTACGCAAAAAACTACCTTTCACTCTCAATCGCGTTTTCGTCTCTCCCTTTCTCCGATGTGTCCAAACCGCCGCCGAAGTCGTCGCCGCCCTCTCCGCCGTATCCGACAACCAAGACCCCAATAACCTCACCGGCGATGGCGTCCCCATCGATCCCTCTAAAATCAAGGTCAAAATCGTCTTTCTTTTCTTTTTGCAGAATGTGAACATCAATGTTTAACTGGAATTATAAGTTTAAGGATTAATTGGTTTCTGAAAGCTGAGGTCAACCCTGATTTATTAGAAAATATATTTTAATCATTTAAATTTGAAAAAAAAAAGATACCTTTTAAGTTTAAAGGAGTAATAGGATTTTTATAATAATTGCTTTAAAATCACTGAGATTTAATATTGTCCTATCATAAACTACCTCGGAAAGTTATAGGATTTGTATAATAATTGCTTTAAAATCATATTTATGATTATCTATGATATGATGCATAGAAGTTAAACTTTTAGAGTCTAATTAAACTTATCCAACTTCCACTTTAAGAAGAATAAAGAGGAAAAGTGATTAAGCATGTTTTATGTTGTGTGTAGTACTGTTGTAGTTTACCAAGAACAAGCATTAACTTTTCTTACAGTAAAACAAAATTGTGTTTGAATAAATTTTCCAGTAATGATTCTGCAAACAATGACTATGCTTGATTTCTATGTTTGGGATGTTTGACTTTGAGGGATAAATGTTGGCATTTAAACCTTTGGCTCACTGATGAAAACTCAATGTGCATACACACGTTGTAGCAGAGGTTCAGTTTCATCTGCAGAAGTAGAATTCTATGGTTTTATAGGTGAAAGAGTAACATGATGTTTCATATTTTTCTCCTTAATAGAATTGTAACATGCCTTACAAATCCTTAGCAGATTCACATATCAGCAGCTTCTGAGTTTAAGAAATTCTATCCCTCTTTTCCACAACTGCAGGTCGCTGTTGAATATGGCTTGTGTGAAATGATGAGCAGGGCAGCTATTAGACTTGACGTGGTGCCTAAAGACGGAAACTGGGGTTTCGATATTCCGAAGCTCGAGGCTCTGCTTCCGGCAGGGACAGTAGATAAGAATGTGAAAAGGGTCTATGAAAAGGTATGGAGCTTTTCATCTTCACTTTCAACTGAGATGTTTTAGCACATTTGACAGTTATGTATGTATGTATGTATGAATGAAAATGTCACTTGAGCTGATGAAATCTTTTTTGCTTGAGGAACTTCAGTTGCCCCAGTGGGAAGAAGATCCAAACTTGCACACAAGGCCTAGATATAAGCAAATAGTTAAAGATCTTGCTGACAAATATCCTACGGAGAACTTGCTGCTTGTCACACATGGTATAATATTCAATTTATTGTTCAACTTTCATCTGTATACACACCTTTTTCTTTGTAAATGCAATCTTTTATCTTGCTGTTCCCCATATTACATTAATGTGTAAGAATGAAATTTACTGAATCTGTTAGTGGTCACTGGATGAAAAAGGTGGTATATTTTGATGTATTGAAGAAATTTTTTCGAGCTGAATTCTAATTTGGTTCCATCTTTTGTAGGGGAAGGAGTTGGGGTGGCTTATTCTTCATTCCAAAAGGAGGTTGAAGTGTATGATGTTGATTACTGTGGATACGCCCAACTCAGACGCCCAATTTTCAAGAAAGATCAATCATTCACTGCAGGAGAATTTGAAGCTATTGTTCACAATGGTCAAACTGGTATAAAATGCATCGAAAACAAAACTGCACAATAATGGCCATCTACACCTCCGAGGCCTGATTCTCACTTACTACTGTGGCTACTTCATGTTTGATTCCTCCAAAGACTAAATGATTCTGTATTGAGAATGTTTGATTGAGTAGGAACACAAACACCATTATTATTCTTCACTCGATTGAATGGTAAACATAGGATGAAAAGAAAAGTATGGTTTTACTTTTCCCCATTATAATCAGAATAAGTTAATGGATACATTATATGAATTTACATGTTTATGATAGAACATGGATGATCTAAGCAGACAATTCTACTTATGAGAAAACCCTTTGTTGGTTTGTTATTACTGTTGCCTTTGGATTATGCTAATTGAATACTATTTTTATCAGCCCTATTTCTTTTATTGCTGTGTTGTAAATATAAAGTTTGTCTTTAGGAAAGAACGGAAGAAAATGCTTGTAAATTATATTAGGTTTGTGTATTTATTATTTGAAAGGAATAAAACTGCACTGTCATGATCACTTACACTACACCAGTGTTCGGGTAACATATTTCATGAATTTTGTATGTTTATATTTTTATTTTATTTTTCTTCCAATTGAGCTGAAGAAGCTAATGTTGGAAGCTTAAAGCTCGGAAACGGAACAAAACATCATGAAAAAAGGTCAGAATGTAAAATCCACGTTTACATCTCCTAAAGACGTGGTCGATCTGATAAAGAACTGAAGCTAAACTAACCTCTAAAAATTAGGACTTTATTAACAGAACAGCAACTAACAAGATCTTAACGTGTCAACACAAAAATATTTACAAAAAAATGTTATACATTATTTTTTCATTCTTTCTCTCATCATCATATCGTATGTTTTAGAAATCTGTTATTTTTTTCCTTTATTTTCTCTCTCTTTAGATTTATATCACCATTTTAAGACATGAAAAGTTTTCCTTTATCTAAATATAAGACTATATAAGATAAAAATCATGTATTCTTTGGCTGCAATATAAATACTAGTTGAATAAACCAAAGATGTTGAAAATAATGCTTTGGACTGTTTTAATATCTAGTTACTCTTATCTGCATGCATTTCTAATAATATTTATGTAGTTTTGTTTGAATAGCAAGTGAATATCATTGCAATTGATACCTTCAACAATCAATGATCAATTAATTAAGACATAATAGCAAAAACTATCGATGCCACACATTTTACAAAGATCATATTATTAGTAGCTATCACTTGAAACAACTCAGGTCCAAGACTAGAACAATTTGGCCGTCAGAAAGATCAGTAATATGGACAAATGCAATGTCTGTTTTTGGTTATCCTACGAATGACATCAGTATCAACAACTTAAAATACCAATGCATGGCCAAGTTAATAATTATTAGCCTGCAGTTACAAGACAGAAACACAACAACACATGGAATAAACGGCAATGTCCACAAAAGTCATAAGAAAGAAGGGCTTGCAGGTGGGTCCATGTGATCAAACATGTCCATAGGGAAGTCATCGAAGAAGCTGTCACTGCTTTTGAACTTATCAATGGTATCCCTTGTCTCAATTCTGCAACTTCCTGGTGGCTCGAAGAAAGGGAATCCAATGGGGTGCTGCAGACCTATTCCAAACTCAGATGCATCATCAAGAGCACAATAGTCTTCAACGAAATATGGCTCATCGATTCTGGCTAAGACATCTTGGCTTCCCATTGGGAATGTGAGATCATGTTGGAGTTCTGGAATCTGAGGAAAGGAAATCTGTTGAATCTGCTCACTACTGTTATAGCTCTCAAAAGGGGTAAAACCTTGTTCAACATGGATTGGGTCAGAACTAGGTAACTCAGACTTTATGAGATCTGGTAAAGATACCATTTTGATAACCTCAGAATTCTCAATCAAAGGTAGTGAGTATGACTGAGGCTTTGATGATGATTCTCCCTCTGATGAAGAACTGAATTTTGGAGCCTATACAAGTCAACAAATATATGTTATTCCAATGTAAACAAATTGCAGCAGTGAAAACAACACAGCCTCAAAACATTTTTCTCATTTTTCCAGGTCTACTACTGCATTATCTGGGCAAGAAAGTTCTAAGAATTTGGGGCATATGCATTGGAAGGAACACGCATATAGAGTAACATCAAGGTTTAGAAACAGATTATCAATTTAAAACCTTTGAGTAAGATCAGTAAATAGCAACAATTAGCAAACCGTCAACAGGACAAACCAGTTCTTGAAATTTGATTTGGTCTATCACAATTTCAGTTGTCTTGTTTGTGGAAATCTGTATTTTAGCATATTCATTATTAAGTAAAATCTAACCATCTTCAGTAAAACAAACAAATCTTGAAACTGATTTAGCGTCTCAAATTTCAGTTCCATTTTCCTTTTCGATTGATCAACACTAATTCTATAGAAGAAGAAAAAAACATTATGATAGAAATATAAAAGCATGGAAATAGAGGAACCTCTCCATCTAATTACCTCCAAAGTTGGAACATCAAGAAGGGTAGGAACTTTTGTTTTATTTTTCTGTGATTTGGAAGTTGTTCCCGATGTCTGTAGAATCCTGGCCAACCTCTTTTGCCTACTGCTCCAGAAATTTTTCACATCATTGTCTGTTCTCCCTGACAAAAAGGATGCAATCTTAGCCCACCTGTTCCCAAATTGTTCCTGCAACTCTATCACAATCCTCTCTTCCTCGAGTGAAAACTTGCAACCACTTTAAGAAGGCCAACAGAGACACAGAAAACAATAATCAGACAAGAAGCATCAAATTATTGTTAAAATAATAAGTTTTAAGGACTGAAGTTGAGATAAAATATAAAAGAACTTGAGCAAAGAATGGTTTTTGAAAAACAATAAACACCATTGAAAAAAAGCAACTTTTGAGATCAATGGTAAAATCATCATGCACAAGTGCAAGTAACAGCCATAAACCTTCCATTTATATCTGGACACAAAACACGAACCAACTTGTATCAAAAACTTGAACTCACCTTACGATCAAGAGATAAAACGCCAAAAATGCAATACAAAATCATGCAAACCCCATCAAAAAAGAGTGACATGTAAGCTTAAAAACACTGTATAACCCAAAGCTAGGACCAATGAAAGCAACCCCATCCTTGTAACTTTTCATCAAACAAACAGTACAGCAGAAGCAACGGCCATGGTTTTAAATTGCTGTTTCCTTAATATGTTAACAAAATTTGACTGATACTGCCATTACAACCAGTAAGTTGAAAAACCTTAATTCTACTGATGCAACAATGATACATGGTACATGCAAAGAACAACGAGGAGAAAATGAAGAAACATTGTTGACTCACTTCTTGAGGTTTGGTCGAAGCTTATTGACCCAACGAAGACGACAAGACTTGCCAGTTCTTTGAAGAAGACCCTTGGATCGAATGGAGCTCCAATCTCTGGGACCATACTTCTTCACATGGTTCAGTAGCACCTCATCTTCTTCTGCTTTCCATGGCCCTTTCCTTATATACTCTTCTTGCTCCTTTTTCCCGTGCATTTTTCTCGCATGCATCACACAAAAACTCTAAAGAATCTTTTCTCTGGTTTTCTACGAACTACTACTTTTCATACTACTACGTTTTATGTCCTGTGTTCCATGTTTTATGCTCTGTTGTATGTTCTGTAAGATATTACGGTTATGCATGGCAGTTACTGACTCCTTCCCACTAACTTGTCCACGTTCTCTCTCTTTACCATTTTCTCTCTCTCTTTTTTACATTATTTATTTATTAGTAATTGCTTTATTTATTTATTATTAACTAATAAAGTCTTTCTCACTCTTTTATATTATTTATTTATTAATAATTGATTTATCTTTTTATTATTAACTAATAAAGGAGAATTTTTACGATAACATGGGAATTTCTTTATGTATGCTGATGATATTTTTGTAAGAATACAATTATCACCCAAATTCATTATATCTTTTCAAGGATAGTTTTATTATACTTGAGTAATAATGTAAGGTTTTTAGTTGAGATTTTACTCATGTAGGAACAACTTTATTTTTGAAGTATTATTACAACTATGTTGAATTTTCCATACAGAATTAACAAATAAAAAGTATTAGAATCCATGTTTTATGGACAAAGTTGCATATAATCAAATAAATGTCTTAAATATAATTTTTTTTTGTAAGCAACTATTAAAATAATGAGTTTATATTAAGAAGGGTTTGCGTGTAGAGTAATAACTTTTTTTTTGTACTATTACATAATAATTAGAAATATATATATATATAAATATACAATGTCATCATGTTGTAAGTCTACACATTTTTATAACAATAAAATAAGAAATATTAACATTTTTTTTGTATAACTATTATTACAATGAGAGTTATTAGAATATAAAAATTATAATTATAATAAATAGATATAAAAAGAAATGTTTATATTTTCTTATTAAAATAATTAAATTTTTAAACAGATATACATATATAATGTTGAATAAAATAGGAGTTTAATTCTATAATTACTTGCAAAACAATTAACGTATTATTATTTATTATTTATTTTAATAAATAAAAATAGTCATCGTAATTTAAGGATGAATCTCAAAAAAACAGTTATAAAAGGAACTAATATAACATATTTTTCGGGATGTTACAACCATTATAACTCATTGGCAGTTAACTTTTTACTTGTATTATCAACTTTGAAATTAAAAAAATAAATGGAAATTTTGAGTGGTTTGAAAATAGATAATTACAATGTTTGAAACCTTCATTGTATTAAAATATCTAAAATGGGTTTATTCAAGTTGACTATGGTAAAAAAATATAAAAAAAGAAAAAATTATCCTCAAAAAATCAATTTTAATTGTTCGTCTTGAAAGATTTTATTAACGTGTTTTTAGCAGCCCGTCGTGAGTGGTTAAAATAAAATATTATAGGTTATGAGAAAATTGACCAAGTCGTGATGGGATAGATTACATGAAATAATACATTAGAAACATACTATAAATTGTGTTAAATAACATTTTTTTAATAAGTTATGTTAAATATACATTAGATAAAACATAATATAAATTATATGAAATAACACATTAATTGGATAACTTTTAGTTTCATTTTGTACAATGAAAATCTTTAAAAATACAATTTTATCTAAATTGTATGAAATTATATTTTACTTATGTAGTTAATTTTCTTAAAATTATAAAAGTATATTAAAAAAATTAACTTGTGCTTATAGCTCAACATTTTTTATTGAAGAAATAATTCAATAATAATGTATTCATTTAATATTTTGAAGAATCACAAAAATATTTGGCTCAAGTTCAAGAGAAAAAAAAATTATTAAGATTTATTAAATCCAAAAAAAAAGATATTATATAAAGGATTTCAACTAAACATTTTAATTAAAATGTTTTTTTCTTACTCAAAGTTATCATTTATTATTGTTTCTGTTAATTTTAACTAAAATGAATTTAATGACAAAACTGAGTGATTTTTTTTTTTAATCTCAATCTTTGTTGTTTTCTTCTTATCAAATGTAAATACAATATATATTTTAAAATATTAAGTAATATATCATTCTCCAATTAAAATGAATGACGGAAAAGGAATAAATAGAATAAGAAATATATATTATTTGGATGCTTAGAAATATAAGAAATAAGGATTTTTAAGGAGTGAAAATGAAAAAAAAAATTATATAAAAAGATTGAGCATTCAAAATGTAATTTTTTTTATCATGTTTTCGTTTCTTCTTAGCACTTTTTTTTTTAATTTCATTGCAAAAACTCAAAATTTAAACCAAATAAATTTTGTATATCTGTCTAGAGAATAATTATATCAATATTTATATAATATACTCTAATGCTCTAGGAAATAACACGACTTTTTCATCCAAACAGTACTCATATGGATTCAAAATTTATTTGAATACTATACTCTATCAAATACTTTCATAACATAATAGTGTTAAAATTCAAGTTTTGGAAATCTAAATTGTGAACATAAACGCAACAATATTATATTCGTTAAATTAAAATTAACATAATAATTAAGTTTTAATTTATTAAGACAAGTTAGCATGATAAAAAAAATATAGATGCAAGTGATTATTACTATTATTATTCTTGTTGTTTCATAATTTTCTCTTTAGTTTGATTGTAAAAATATTTTTTTTTAACTTTTATTAAAACAAATCATTCTTTATTTTGAATTTTTCTATTCACTTCTTTTGTAAACTTAAAAGTATGTCTGTCTTTCTATACATTGTAATAATATTGAATCATATGCACACAATATTAGAATATTTCATGGTTTTTTTTTGTGTGTTTATTCTCACAGACGTTCATTTACACTTACATATGAATATACTTATGGTGTGTGTGGATTCGGTGGTGGAATTTGAGAGAATGGAAGAAAAAGATAAAAATGAGAATGAAAAGATATTATCTAGATTAAGAAAAGAAAAAGTAAAAATATGAAAGGAAACGAAGAGAAAGTTTATAAATAATTTGATAGATATGATAAATAAAAAATTATTTAAATTGATGAAATTATAATATTATATTTTTTTATTTAAATTAATTCAAAATTAAATATGATTAGTTATTTTATTTATAAATATTAGAATATTATTCTCATTACAATTTGTAACTCATGAAAAAAAAACTAAAATTTATGTCACATTATTGAAAAAAGTAATTTTTTTGAAAAGCTATTTTTAATAAGATGTGAATAGAAATAATTGTAAAATGTTTAAGCACAGTTGTAAATTTTAATTGTATATTTTTAATAATTGTAAAATGTTTAAGCACAATTGTAAATTTCGAAAAACTTAAAAATTATACCAAATTAGTGTAAAGATGTAGGATGCAATTAATATTAAACATGGTACAATAACATAATATGTAAAAACATTTCAACATCATGGTATAATTTCTTTAATATAGTCGTGAGTGGTGGGTCTAGATTATTAGGATGTTATTCATTCTTTTGATTGATAGCATGATGTTGTTAGATCCACATTCAATTTCTTCAAGGCTTTTAGACCCAAATAATGTTATCAATCTAGTTTGACATATACACTAATACATAAGTCATCCCACAGTGAGTCATGATGCATGTGATAAGAATGTCGAATGAAAGAGACATGTTGTAGTTCGTACATTTGATCATGTGTTTCATAATGTGATGAATCAAATAATCAAAATATTATTTTTCATGACCCATAACATAAAAATGTCTTTATGCAATAATTGTGTAAAATTATTACCCGATATGCATGAATATGTAGTGCAAATACTTCATTAATATTCAAACTATCCATATTCTTAACATTTTGATCATGCATCTCTAGTTTGATCATGGAACTCAATGTCATATCATGGTCATATTGGAATTTCTCAGTCATTAGTCTTTTTTACCTTAGTGCTTGAGATTAGCCAGAATCAATCAGTCTCAGTCTCTGCATGTTTGATTTTTAATCTTTCTCCTATTAACCTCAAGAGGTTACCAAGTTTCATGACTTTCAACTTAGAATAAAATATTCTAACAAGTTCTTCATAGTATGAAATTGTCATATATAAAAATTGTTCGAAACCTTGAAATTGTAAACAATTGTGAAAATAAAGACTTGATCATGCAAAGTATGATAAATTCATTATTTCCAGTGTCAGAACTATATTGGTGTAAAATCCCTTTCATATTCTATCATTTGATCACACTTGTTAAGAAAACGTTTTTTTATTCAAGAGGTCTTTGTTTATTGATAGATTTGTACAATGAACTCCAACAACGTGGCTATAGCTTTTCCTTTTGTTTGTATGACACTTCTTCCCTTTATGTTGATGAAGACAAAATCATGACTACATATATTCATATGTATGAAAAAATCATATAAGTGGATATTTCATGTTTTAACAATAATTTAACTAAAAGTACAATTTCAACAATAAAGTATGCACATAATTAAGTAAAAAACATTTTCAGAACCAACACAACAATTTCCACAACTTATAAACAAGAGTCACGTGCATTATTAGGTATAGGGAACATGTATAATATCAATCTCAATTCACATATTTTAGATATGGATGATACAAGGGAACCACTTATGGTAGCTTTACTTGTTGCTTATGACAATAACACTCACAAAATACTTCTTTCAGCGCATAGGATCTACACCAACAAGACCTACAACAGCACACACAAACACCACTCCATTATCCATATTATATGATTCAATTTATACATTTCATAAGCACTCTAAGCCATGCAAAAAGAATGAGCAAAACATAACAAATAAAAAAGCTTCAACATAATTGATTATGGAAGTAGATAATTGATTATGCTTAAAAAATGAAGCATATAATTGGTTATGCGGAAGAAAAATCAATTATGTACTTTTGTTTAAAGTATAATCGATTATTTCTTTACATAACTGATCATGTATTAATTTGCATGATTCGTTCCTTCTTTCATGCTTATTTGAGAAGTTCATATTTTGTATTTCCATTCATGGAACCAAGTATATAAAAGTGTTAAATGGTTGAGATATTACTTGACATGATCTTCAAACCAACTCCAATTGAGTGGTTATCAACAATGCACTAACAAAACACCTCACTCGTGCAACTTTCTTCGAATGCAAGATCACTTATGAACCACATTCACATGTCACAGAGCAAGGACTAAGTGAGCTTGCACACAACTATATAACCACCAAGGTAAGAACAAATAGAAATATGAATCAAGACATGCATTCACAGTTTCACGTTTCAAACACTCTACTCCTTGATTAAGAAATGAATCTCTCTATAATCTTTACATGGATTAAAGCTCTATTATGCACAATAAAAAACGTAAAAAAAAAAAATCTATTCAATTATCATCTAACCTTTGTTATTTGAAAAAAAACGAAAATCTCACAATGTTTTTCTCTATAAATTAACTTTTTTAATTCTTGTAAATTAATGTATCTCAGTTACTCGTCTTTTTATTCAATGTAAAAAATAGTTACACCAATACAACTAGGATGAATACAATTATTTTGACATCCAACAAAGTTTTACAAACATTTACATTTACTATTTTACCCTTCAATTTTATTTTCTTTATAAATATAAAAGTTAATTTTTTTCATAACCAAAATACCCCTGTTTTCAACTATGCAAATGATGTAAAATAAGAGAAAGTTAATATTATGATAGATGTATTACCTTACATAAATACACTTAATCATTATGTTTCTCGTCATAGCACCTACTAACATTAAACCATTTTATTCAGACAGAGAGACAATAAATACACAAAAACAAACAACATTTATTTTCTCTCAGACACGTAGACGTTACACATGCACGAACTCAAAATCAACTGGTTTTCTCACCCACACATGTACCCTTTTAACATTACATATGTCTCACATGCACATATATTTAAAATATGGACTCTTCTCACATGAACATTAAACATTATATAATATACACACTTACAACATTACTCAGCTTCATAAATGCAATAATCATTACTTATTAAATTAAAATGATTAAGAAGTAAACACTTCACTCGATCCCACAAAATTAATTTATAAAATAAAATTTCTATTCATTTATACATACTATAAATTTACCTTGTCACCGATCGACATCCAATAAAAATTAAGTTTTAATTCTATGATAATTCATGTTTTTGCTTGTATGAACACAAATTTTGATTTTTGAGGATCACCCTCAACCACATAAATAAAAGGAAATTTTCAAACATCTTATGTCAAAAATTCTCGGCACACCCTACATTTCACAGACACATCCTTAGACGATTCAAATGCCTTCTGAACAGTCAAAAGAAGCACATAAACAAAATGGTATTAATAGAAGATTTAACCCTAATTATTTTCTATTTTTGATGTACAAATTAAACAAATTCCAAAGTATTTAACTTTTTTCTCCCCATTTGTTCCAATTGCCCCTTAAACTCATAAAAGTTTAGCCCTAAATATTCGGTCCGTGAATGCATGTTTGTCATATCCTTCCAAAGCCTAACCCACAGTTTCATCTTTTAAACCCTGTGATTACTGTGAGCCCAGCTAAGCCAATCTCACCCTATAAATTTGCAGTTGAACTCTCACACTCCTTAGTGGCCACACACACACGTTACACAGATCTACCCATGTCACTGGATCTGTGATTTTCTTAGACATTGGTGTCATCACCAACAATTGTACCTATCAGTATCCAAATACACATCAAATCTAGTCACCTTCTTTTTCAACCCTTTCACTCCTCAATTCACATCACACACAACAACCATGGAGATTGATAGCAGGTTTTTGAGCACTGGCCTCCTCCTGGTTGCCACAATCCTTGTGGCAAAACTCATTTCAGCCTTCATAGTGCCCAAATCCAGGAAGAGGGTACCCCCAGTTGTGAAGGGGTGGCCCTTGATTGGAGGGCTTGTCCGTTTCCTCAAAGGTCCAATCTTTATGCTCCGTGAGGAGTACCCTAAGCTTGGGGGTGTCTTCACCCTCAAACTCTTCCACAAGAACATCACCTTCCTCATTGGCCCTGAGGTATCCGCACACTTCTTCAAGGCTCCAGAGACTGATCTCAGCCAGCAAGAGGTGTACCAATTCAATGTGCCAACTTTTGGACCTGGGGTGGTCTTTGATGTTGACTACTCTGTGAGACAGGAACAGTTCAGGTTCTTCACTGAGGCTCTTAGGGTCAACAAGCTCAAGAGCTATGTCAATCAGATGGTTGCAGAAGCAGAGGTATGCTTGTGTTGGTGCTATTCATGTTGGTGTTTGTTTGGTTCTTTTCTTTTGTTGTTGTTGGTGATTGATCTAGTATGATGGTTTCTCACGTTGATGGGTAATCGTTCTCTGTTCTTGGATTTAATCATTGCAATCGGGAATTTGTTGGGCTATTTTATTCTCACGCTGATGGTGTCTGTCTTCCTCCATGGTTCTCTAGATGCTTACGCTTTCATCCCTCGGTCTACAATATGTCAAAATTCGACCCCTGAAGGGTTGGATTGATTTTGGATATTTACAAAATTCAAAGACCAAAAGTGATGTTTTAAAATTTAGGAATAAAAGCCCTTTATTGTAAATTTTATTTTGATGATGAAGACAATTAACCCTTTTGTTTTCTTTGGTTTTTATGGGGAGTAATGATAGATTGGGGGACTGGAAAAAAAACCGTCATCCCCTTAGAAATTTGCCAGTTGTGAAGCTGATATGCTTAGATACCTTGCTTTTGTTATTGGCTTTTGTTCTTCAATTGACCCTCTTTTGTTGTTGCTTAATGTATTACGTGTTTGGGCATTCAATTCAATGATTTGGTGGTCAATGGCAACACCTGTCATGATCAGTGTGTTCTGCAGGGCGTTGCCCATTCCAACTTTAATGCAAGAATAATTAACTGAGCAGCCTTATCCAACTCCATGGGATCTAATACAAGGTGGTTTTGGACTAGAGTGAAAAGAGTGGCAATATAAATCTTACAAGAATGTGTAGTAAAATTTAACGATTTCGTTATTTATAACGTATGTGCATACCTTTTTTTTTCCACACGAGAATGGACCATTGAATTGTCAACAAAGCTTCATGCTACTTGAGTTCATTCTGATAATAAACTGGAGAAGCTCTTCATTTTCATTTGGACTTCACTATGGTGAAATGGCATCAAACCTGACAGTTTTCATTGTCTCATTATGTTGTTTGTTAACATTAAACTCCTACCTTGTAATTTTTCTTTGCTGTTTAACAATTGGATATTGAAGAGTGTTCTATCCCAAACACAAACTCAATTTGCAGGACTATTTCTCAAAGTGGGGACCAAGTGGTGAGGTTGATTTGAAGTATGAGCTTGAGCATCTTATTATCTTGACAGCCAGTAGATGTCTCTTGGGACGTGAAGTTCGGGACAAGCTCTTTGATGATGTCTCTGCACTGTTCCATGATCTTGATAATGGGATGCTTCCAATCAGTGTGCTCTTCCCATACCTGCCTATCCCAGCTCACAAGCGTCGTGATCAGGCACGCAAGAAGCTAGCTAATATCTTTGCTACCATCATAGCTTCTCGCAAGAGTGCCAGCAAATCAGAAGATGACATGCTGCAGTGCTTCATCGACTCAAAATACAAAGATGGCCGCCCAACAACTGAAGCTGAAGTGACTGGACTCCTCATTGCTGCTCTTTTTGCTGGTCAACACACAAGTTCAATTACCTCCACTTGGACTGGTGCATATCTGCTGTGTAACAACAAGTACCTTTCAGCTGTGCAGGAGGAGCAAAAGCAGTTGATGGAAAAGCATGGGGACAGAGTTGATCATGATGTTTTGGCTGAAATGGATGTGTTGTATAGGTGCATCAAAGAAGCCTTGAGACTCCACCCTCCTCTGATCATGCTGCTGAGAAGCTCGCACAGTGATTTTAGTGTCACAACACGAGAGGGGAAAGAGTATGACATTCCCAAAGGCCATATAATTGCTACATCACCTGCTTTTGCTAACAGGCTTGGTCACATTTTCAAGGACCCTGACAGGTATGATCCTGACCGATTTTCTGTCGGGAGGGAAGAGGACAAGGTGGCTGGTGCATTTTCATACATTTCGTTTGGAGGGGGTAGACATGGATGCCTTGGGGAGCCATTTGCATATCTTCAGATTAAAGCAATATGGACTCATCTGCTAAGGAATTTTGAACTGGAGTTGGTGTCACCTTTTCCTGAGATAGACTGGAATGCCATGGTTGTGGGAGTTAAGGGAAAAGTGATGGTCCGATATAAGCGGAAGGTGCTTTCAGTTAATCAATAGGATTACTGTTTCATTTTCATGGATGATTTTATTGTAAGCAGTTACTGTTAGTCTTTCCTGGTTCAGCTTCTGTCCAAGTTCACTCTCTATTTTGGCAATGGATATCTAGAATCTTTGATTTTGATTTTATTTTGTTATGTGATAAGTGATTGTAACCTGTTTTGGTTTGTGTATTGGAGGCTACTAGTTACTTGGGTTCAAGTGAAATGGTTGAACTAAAATGCTGCATGGGATATTTTGGCGCTGTACCATCCTGAAATATTCTGATCAAACTTCCTCACTTTATGAAATTTGATCAAATTGGATCCATTTAAAAGCTGGGGGAATCTTTCTCCCCCCAAACAATTTTGATTTGTATGCTCTTATTTCTTAGATTCATAACTATCAACCAACCAAACTAGCCTTATTTAAAAGCATACAGACTCATTTTAACCCCTCTCCTAGAGTTAAGGATGTCAAACTGCTATTTGTTATCAATTCATATGTTTGATAATAAACAAGCCTCTTGTTTACGAGAAAATGGAAATGTAACGGTTAGTGTGCAATCATGAACAATGATGTAATACAGAAAAGGTGATTCCATCAATATAATTCTCAATTTACTAAAAGAGTAGATCAGTAACACGGTAGAAGTTGAAGGCATTGAATATTAGGACTTCAACCCCCACTATAGTAGAACTGCTTCTCCAAGGGTCTCTGAAGTAAACCCACCTCAATGTCCCCATTGCCCATTTCCAATCATTGTTGTAGTGTTCATTAACATCTTCCATGATCTGGTGGTAGCATGTTGAATTTGTCACCATATGTTTGCAAAGATCATTAACCAGATTTGCCAGTTCTTGATCACTCCCCAGTTCATGGACAATAATTTCTTTCTCAACCAGCAACTCTGCATCATCTTTGGTGTGAATAAGAGAGTCAATAAGAGAAACATAGTTGCAGATGTAAGGTTCTTCAGGATAGTGACACTGCTCAAATGCTATTAGGTTCCTCAGAACACATTCTGTTGTGTGGTCTACTTTCAACTGGGGGATCTGAAACCGAGCTTTGAACAACTTGCAGCATGGCAAACAACCCAAGCAAAGAAACCAGCTGAAGAATCGTTTCTTCTCAAACTTGACATCAAGTAAGGATCTGTCTTGAGACATGTCAAAGCTTATCCCAGCCTCATTCAACTTTGTTGCAGTCCTTAGTACACACTCCTTAAGATTACAGTTTTTCTGAATGCTCAGGTTCTTTGGGAGATAGGAATTTCGAATTAGATCAGTGAAATGCAGTGATTTCTCCCACTTTCTTTGCTCGAACTTGTTTTCTGAAGATTGTTCATGAGGATAATAAGATCCAAAGTACTCATGAGCAAGGTTAATAAATCTAGCGTGGCTTTTGACATTGCTTGGGACAACATTATCATATAGTTTTTCCAACACTATCATTGGAAGCTGGTTCTCAAGCAGCATCAAGTCACACTGGATACTTTTTCCAATACAACCTTGAGTTATTAGATAGTCCTCCTTGTGTTCCCATTTTCTTGATTGTCTCAGAAACAGCTCCATGATGAACACAGCATCCAACAACATTATCTCCACAAATTGCTCCTTGCTGATATCAGGGAATTTCTTTTGGTAACAACGGCGTAGGTTTTTCTCTTCTAGTTCAAGTAAGGCTTTGTACTGCAGCAAATCAAGCTTGCTCATTTGGCTTAGGCGTGCCCAAAAGAAATGAAAATATCTTTGTTTCTGCTCATGCATTTCCTCTAGTTGAGCATTCTTATGGTGGACAGGGCCAATTGAGACCAACAGAGGAGTGTAGGCCACCACTTTCACCTTCAAAAGACTAGTTGGTACCTTGTAGATACAACATTCTGGCCACAGTGCAGGCTCCATCACTTCTGGAATGTTAATTATGTGTTGGATGTGATGTTCAATAGAAGTCTCCATGAGACCTCTTTTTTCTGGTCCTGTTCAGCAAACATACCAGCCGTCAGACAAATCCTGTTTTCATTTTCAAATTTTCAGGATTTGGAAAATTTGTTTGTTTTGACCTCTTATTGTCCATTTTCAAAATAGCAAGCACCAAAAAGATTCTAGAATCTTCTAGAGACTTCTGAGAAATAAATAAAAGGTTTATCTTCACAACAACCTAGCAAATTTGGATTCCATGTTGAGTTTTTGATATTGTCCCTATGCTGAGTTTTCAAAATATATTGATGGACAATGATTATGATGTTTCAAAATATATTAAGAACTCTTTTAATATATCAACATCATTTCATTTTGAAGGCTTAGCAGAGGAATAGTATAAAAAACTCAGTGAAGAATGGACTCCAAGATAAAAAGGGTTAGTTTGGATTTCTACTGTTTACCTTTTCAAAACGTTTAAAAAATGACCAAACTGCTTTCTTAAGTAGTACTCTTACTACGTAGAGACATGAACATCAAAATTCCTACAAATGACCTATTTTCATGAGAAATTAATCATGTTAAAGACAAACCAATATTTACCATTCTTGGGGAATAAATATGCAAATCCATACTCTCAAGTATAATAAAGATGTATTTAATACAAAGCAGTAAAAAGACATATACACTGCAGATGTGCCTCTTCAAAATAAGATAACTGACTTTGAAAAAGAAAAGGTCAGATTCCACTGATACACAAAGGATCCATCCATCTTCATGTACAGACATAAAGTGAAGATATTTTTCAGCAAACAAATGGCTTTTCCCCTTTGGCTAAAAGCATTCTTGCTTTGTATAAGATAAAGTTAGAATTTTTAAATATCAACTACAAACAGAAGAAGGATTAGAAAGCACAGGGAAAGAGAATCACTTGTAAAGTGACATTTACAACATCTCAAACAAATAAGCAACAAAACCAAAATGAAAAACCAGAAGTAGAACAGAAAAAGATGAGGTGAAGAGCATAGAAACTAGAATCTGGACAGAAGATCATGACAGTTATAGAGTGAAAAACTGATGAAATAATGGCCTAAATCAGAATTAGTGATTGAAAAAATTTAACTGCTACAACGATCCAATAGTAGGTATTATCTTATCACAAACTTCTGTTAATAAATGCACAATGTATGAACCTGAAAGACTGTTTCCTCTAACAATTTCTCAGTTCCAAGCTCCAGGATCTTCACTTCTGAACTCTCTCTTTTCTCAGTCTCTTTTTGGTTTGTTCTTGAACTTTTGGTGTGCTTTGTAGATGTAGTGAATGAAAAATCAACTAGTCAAAGCAAATACAGTGCCAAAGGAAAAGATAAATTCTAGGCTAGAACAGTTTTGTTTGTTACTGTTTGGTGGTTTTGATGATAAAATGAATTATTGGAAGGCTGGAAATAGTTTTTACATTCATGAAATTTGTACTGTTTGTACAACTTTGTCAGGTTATGATAAATAGCAATTCAATGATCAATTATTCAATGGAGATATTGAAGGATCAAGAAATTAACTGCATGAACATATTGGTAGCTCAGATTTTCATTTCTTTGTTTTTTGATGCACTGATTGAGTTTTATAACACTTGGGTAGGTGAGCAATAATGTGTTTGCTTCTGCTTTTTCTGTATCATTAAACTTCCTGTCTTGCAGTATTTTCAAAACAAAAGAACTTTTTAATTAATTAGTGTAGTCACTTCAATTTAAGATCATTTTTAGATTTCTTAATTTTCTTTTTTAAAAAATTAGTTTTTTAAATTGAGAAAAAAAAATGGTTAAACAAAATTAGATTTTTTTTTCTAATTTAGAAAAGGTCTATGATTACTGTGTTAGTTTCATTTATTTCATGACAAGTTTCATTCACCCTTATGATGGGGATAGTGTACAGTTGAATTTTTAATCTCTTACTAAAAAAATGTTTTATTTGAAACATATATACACATTTTTTAATTTATGTTCTTAAACCATAAAAAGACGAAGAAAATATCATTGCACCTGCCAAACTAAAAACGACTTTTTAAAAATAATTTCACAAAAATACTTTTTTCTAATTAATGATGAAAATACATTTTTAATATGTATTTTAGTACGTGTTATTACTAGTAATTTTTTAAATAGTAACTTATTCTAATAAATATAACACTTAATATTCGTCTCTGTATATTTCACTAGTATAAATAGTAAAGATAAATTTACACTATTATTAAAAAGGAAAACAAATAGATAACTTGTGCTCTATAAGTGATTTTAGGAATGCTATTATATTATAGAAGAAAAATTAAAATAACCACAAAGAAATATGTTATAGAGTAAATAGAAAATAAAAGTTGTAAGAACTAAATCTTATATTATTATTTAAAGATTAAATTTATCTTTAGATTTCTGAATTATTGAATAAGTTTTAGTTAAGTATCTAATGGATTATTTTTAATTGGGTTTAAGTACGGCTACATATTATTATGCATGTCAACATAAAATTCAATTTAAAGTTTTATATTTAAATTAATTATTTTCATATTATATATAAGTAATACAACATTTAATAATGCAGCCCTACTGAATTTGATAAAATTTATAACAAACTATTCCATTTAATACTATGCATTTAAACAGGTGAAACATTTTACCCCACCTTCATGTGAACGCATATCCTCTTCAACCTAATTTCTATTAATCAACAATCATTCATGACATGAGATATATTTTCTTCAACTATTTATACAATTTCTTAATATATATATATATATATATATATATATATATAATTTATTGGTTAAGTATTCAAAAAACTTTATATTTTTTAACGGGAATTTGACTGTTTATTTTCTTAGTGTTAATTGAGTTATGGATTACTATCTTGTTATATTATCTTACTTCCATGTCTTTATATGTTAAAAAAACATAAACTTATATAATTATTGTAAATTAAATTAACAAAAAATATTTATTATTTTATAGTAACCATAATATTGTTTTATATAAATTACAAAACTTCGAAATTTTTAATAAGTGAAGGCAATAAAATAAGATGATAGGATAACAATTATGTCATCCAATTAATAAAAATATTAATTGTCATAGTAGGATATTAAACAATATTTAATAAAAATTCAATTAAAAATACATAATATTTTTAAAATTTTAAAACTTAAAACTTAATTTAGTCCAAATTTAATGATTAAAATCATAAAATTAAATGTAAAAGAGATTTGAATTTAAAGAAATTTCATTCTAATAACTTTTTTATATAAAAAATTTGACCCGATCCTTCAATTTTTGTGTGTATGATATACTATTGGCCGAATCTGATACTATTTTTAATTTAGTTAAATAAAATTGGTTGGTGTGAATAATTTATAAAAAAAATAAAAATTGATCAATTATTTTTCTTTTTCAAAAATATATATTGGCAGCCATAACAAAATGTGATTGCCAATAATTGATAACAGCCTTATATTAATTAAAAGACAAAATGTTAATGGATGACATTTCGGAGAAGAGAGTGGAGTATGTAATTGAAAAAGAAATTTCTTGGAACAACGTAAAAACATGGCAATTATTTTGTGTACCATCAATGTCGTAAGATTGTTATTGGCAGATACTTTTATAGAAAGAAGAAGAAATGAAATGAACTCCACAATTTTTGTGATATAATTGAATATTGATATTTTTTCATCATCTAGAAAATAAATTTTTATCGAAATCAATATCGGTTAACATGGTAATAATATCTATCAAGACAGTGAGACTGAAACTATTAAATAAATATTTTTCTGAAAGGAATTATAATATTATTTATTAAAAGATATATTGTAAAAATATATTAGTAATTGTACAGTAGGGGTTGGACGACCTTACATAATAGTCCACACCAAGTAAACCGAACGACTCTGGAGAAAAAGAAACAACTAAACAGCGAAGGAATGTGGTTGGATATGTAGATAAGACCGAACGGCTATAATAAGACACATTCGGCCTTATTTGATAGACAAGTTTCTCTACAAGAATTAAGGTAAATGGTAATTAAGGGTATTGGACTGAGATTGGGCCGAGATTAAGGTTTCACTAATCTCAAGTCATGCCAAAAGCTATAAATATACGTCAAAGGTAAGAGGAGATAGGTGATCGCATTTATTGTGTATTTAATATCATTGCACTGAACTTCCGTACGAATAATTTGCTTGCTGACACGAGAAGTAGTAGCTACTGGACAACATTAAAGAAGAAATTGTGTACGTTTTAAGTGACTTGACCTCATACCCAAAATAGTACCGAAAGATATCTCCTCTTTTCCTAAGTCTCTTTATAAATTGGACTAGACTTTGTTTTGAAATTTTTTGTTATTATAATATTATTTTTGATAATGTAATCTCCTCCTATTATCTTCTAGATAATCCAATATCTTCAAGGTATATTTGATTGTTGCGCAGATTTAAACATATTTGATAATATATTTGCTAAATTAAAAAAGATTTAGCAATATTATATTTTGATATTTATTGATATAGTTAAATAAGATAATTATTTAACAAAATCAAATAAAATATCTTAAGATATATTTTTCCTAATTATCTTTTATCATAAACATTTATCTATTGTCAAAGCTTTTTTTTGTAGAAAAATAGAGAAAATCGCAAGGTTCAAATTTTTTTGTTTGTTCCCTCTTCTTGACTTAGCTAAATTTTTTTTTCCTTTTTTCATGCTTTTCTTGCCTTCTTCATGCAATGTTGGCTTGACTTCTTGTGGTCTTGATTATTTTCTATTTTTAGATTTATCTTTAAGGTGTCACGAAATTTTAACTAATTTATTTTCACACCTTAATAAGTTCAATTTAGCTGCAGCTACACTAACACACCTTAAAATATTCAAAGAACATTTATTCAATTAAAAAACTATTTTTATTATGTTTTTGTATCTCATGCTCAATAAACTAAATTATAACAAATTCTAATTAAAATATTATTTTAAAGTATAAAAATTAATTAAGAATTCAATATTAAAGGCTAAATGAGGGCATAAATATGCACTCATCACCAAGTGGTAATGAAATTAGACTTAACGGTCATACGACGTAGTGATATTCTCTTATGCTAAACAACTTAAGGTAAAGTGTGATTACTTCCAATTGGACTGTAATTAGGCCGCTACTAATTATGGACCCACACCAAAATCTATAAATATAGTATGAGGTGAGGATGTAAGTGATTTTACATTTATTGTACCATCAAAGTAGCTTCTGTAAATAACCTTCAAACATATCGGACGAATAACACAAATGAATGTAAAGACGAACATTTAAATCATTTTACAACCTATAACACATCGTACCATTAACCTCGAACACCTGAAACAATGCTAATGGTGAACTTAAGGACGAACGTTTTTGCTTCTAATTTCCTTTTATTCAAAAGGAAGTTCTAAATCATACGGAATAATCTTGAAATTCAACGATTCAATCTTTTTTTTGGTGTAGCTCAATGTCATTTCTAAGTTTGGTTTCCACCAATTATTCTTCAACTTCATCAAAAAATTTCATTTGATATGCAACTGGCCAAATTGAGACAAGATTAGAAATACTTATTTTAGTGTAACATTTTTAATTGAGCGTAGACTTTTTTACATTAGATCTAGTATATTGACCCATTTGTGTCAAACCTATTAAAAATATTATTTTAGATCGTATTAGAGCCGGTTAATTTTAACAATGTCATAATTGACACTAATATTAAAAAAAGCTAATTTTATATGTTTTGTTATAGTGTATACGGAAAATACAAGAAGTTTTCTTACCATTTTATATTTAATTTCATATATATATATATATATATATATATAATAAGATTTAAACATAAACTTTTTTACTAAATATGAATAATTATCACTTTTGAGTTTAAAGTCTCTGCCTAGCACCTAACCGTTATATTTTTATTAGAAGTTAACAAAATTGTTAACAAAACATTAAAAAAATATCAATAATTTGGTAGGGACTGGTTCAAGATGGAAATTATTCATATATATGTCCTATCAATTCCATTTAAGTTATTTTTTCCATCATATATAAGTTCTTTACGTAATTTTTTATTTGATCAATACCTTTCATCCATTTCTACTTTATTAGCATATAGATTATTTTAGTGTAAATGTTCACCAACTTCATCAAAAGTTGAAAGATTTATGTTGTGCAAATGTAAGATGGGTAATGCATCTGTAAAGCCAAAAATAATGGATCAACTTTGGAAAATAGAAAAAGCTACAAAAGTTAAAACCTAAGACTGTGACACTTCCACTCATAAAAAGCAACAACATTTTGGACTATTAGCTGTGTGTATCAGCAACTTTTGTTTTTGTACGTGAGTAAAAGGTTAACGATATTTGACACTATTTTTTTATAATATTTTAATATTATTTATGTGTTATTTTGTAATTAGTCTAAAATTATTTCACAGTCAATAATAATAATTATAAACACCAACATAGATCAATCACAGAATGACACATAAATAGTGTTAAAATATTATCAAAAAAATATTGTAAAAGTATCATTATCTCTGAATAAAATAGATTTAAATTCACTTGTATAAATTACCCAATTTTTATTTGATAAAAACATTATCCGCTTTTTTTTATTGTTAGGCTAAACTAAACTTTGAACAACTAATTACTAATTATTTCAGTATTACCTAACTGTTTTATTATTAGCTAAGTCTATGATAGAGAATTAAGACAACGTTCTTTTACAAAACGAATATATAAGGTAGAAGAGAAGAGGAGAAGAAAGCAAAAAAAATAGATATAATAATAAGTTATGGCGATGGAGAAAGAAGAAATAGATAGAAAGAAAATTAGACTAAAACATATAAAAAATGAGTCAAAACAACTCATATAAAAATAGTCCAAGCATGTACATTTCCAAAATATGCACAAGCATTTCTAACAATGTCACTGGTTAAAAATTTAAGGTGAATTAGAAATCTTACTTAAAAAAATAGTATAATAAATAATGTACATAAATAAAAAGATAAATTTATTATTTTAAGATTTTGATAATATTTGTTAGACACATAAATAAAACGAGTTTATAGTTTAAATCTCATCGTACACAAATTAGTTTTATAAGATTAAAATAGACTTAATTTATTTCTTAAAAAAATATTAGATTAAAATTTAGTTTTATCGAGATTTGTTATTTGATTATTTGTTTTATTATATTATCGATTATCGAAGATTTGCTTCGCTATAAAATTATCATTGAACTACTTATTAATGTTAATATCATTTCACACCCTCGATATTTATATATAAAAGAATATATATCTTACTTTATTTCAAACGAGTTTTGCAAAGTGAATTTGGTTTTAATTAATATTCTTAAAATCTTAATAATCTCTTATATTATTTCATTTACAAGTTATTTGTCCTGAATTCCGAATATCTCTTATCGAAAAAACCTATATAACTACTAAAGCATTTTCTCTTAATAAAGTAGCACAGTATAGTTTACATGTAGCTTCGTAACATACTTCAAGATTCATTGCATTGTTTGTTGCATTGCACATTCCCAATTTTAACACTGTTTATTTCATCACCTCGTGTCAGAGTTGAATGTGAAACAACATGTGTATATGTCATTCATACGATGAACCGTGAAACAGCACAGACAACATTTAAGAAGCTGCATACATCTGATGTGTTTTATCGCCCAAACAGAGAATGAATAGCACGTATAAACTGGAAAACAGCGAAAACAATGAAAGCAATGCCTACCAAAGTGGAACTTGCTCTCCAAGGGTCTCTGAAGTACACCAACCAAAGAGCAGCCATGGTGCGGTTCCAAACATTCTGGTAATGCTTGTTCAGTTCATTGATGGTCTCAAAGTAACACGTTGAGTTTGTCACAACATGTTTGCTCAGACTATTGACAAGGGTTGCTACTTCCTTGTCACTCCCCAATTCATGCACGATCACTTCCCTTTCAACCAGCAACTCCACATCAAGCTGAGTGTGTATGAGAGAGTCGATGAGATTGACGTAGTTGCAAATGTAAGGCTTATCAGGATAGTGGCACTGCTCAAAGGCAATGAGGTTCCTCAGCACACATTCTGTTGTGTGATCCACCTTCAACTGGGGGATCCTAAAACGTGCCTTGAAGTGGTTCAAGTATGGCAAGCAACCAAAGCAGAGAAAGGAACTCAGAAATGGCTTCTTCTCAAAGGTTATGTCTAGCAACCTTCTGTTCAGATGCTTCTCAAAGCTCACTCCTGATTCTTGCAACTTTGTTGCCGTTCTTAGCACATGAAGTGCAGAATCATTACTGCGACCCCAATCTGTTGGAAGGTAAAAGTACCTTGGTGGACACCATCATCACATCACATGCTAGTTAGCACCCACAGAAAGAGAAAATATAGACAAAAACATCAAAAAAGAAGTTGCAGAACCCAATGATGCACTGTGTAAAGAATGACAGAAACATTCAGGATCACCTACTAATTTATTAGAAAAAAGAAGTGAATGTTGGTATAGTAAAATATGAAAAAAATATGATAATGTCAGTTGAATCATACCTTATCAGATCAGTGAAGTGCTTAGTGCTCTTGTTGCACCTATCTTTGTTCTTTGACTTAGAATGTTTCTTGGAACTTCGGAGTGAGCCACTGAAGTAGTTTTTCCTTGACTGGTTCTTGTCGAGAACACGTTTGGTTTCATCAGAAGAAGACATCTGGGTGTCATAGAACGCAAAGTACTCGATGGCAAGATCAACAAACCCTGCATTGTGTTCATTCTTCTTGCTGTCACTAGGGACAACAGTGTCATAGAGTCTCTGAAGCACAAAAAAGGGTATCTGATTCTCCAACAAAATCAAGTCCCTTGTGATGCTCTTGCTGAGCCATGACTGTGTCAAGATGAGATCATCACTGTGTTTCACCCTAAACGATTTGGTCTGCTTGTAATCGTGCTCGTGCTTGGATCTCTCAGATTTCCAGTGACAGTTCCTCAGCAAGAGTTCCATGATGAACACTGCATCGAGCAGCATCATGTCGACGAACTTCTCTCTGGTGATGTCAGGGAATTTGTCTGCATAACATTCTCTGATGTTTTCTTCCTTGTCTTGGAGGTAGTGCTTGAAGCTCTTCATGGCTTGTTCGTTTGAGACACGTTCCCAGAAGAAGTGGAAGTAGCTTTTCTTGTGTTTTTGCATTGGCTTGAGTTGGTTTTTGGTGAGATGAATTGGGCCAATTGAGATCCACTCGGGAGTGTAGGCATCCTCGTTCACCTTTCGGAGATTGTAAGGAACTTTGTAGATGCTGCACTCGGACAACCTTAGCTCCTCCAGCTCTGGCATGTCGATGATGTGTTTCACCATCTCAAATTCGGTTTCAGACAGTGAAGAACCACAGGTTTTGTAAGCATGTGCCATTGTTGCAGAAACAAGCTTCTGCTCAACTTGCTTTTTATCAAAATAAAAAATTAAGCCTCTTTTGTCTGCATTATAATCATTGTTTTAAAGGATTAAATTAAACTACTGGATTAGTTTCAGAATTATTTGAAATTTTTTAGATGAATTTATAAATTATTTCCTTTAATGTAGTCCTTAATCATGTATTGTATCCTAAAAAATATGGCTGGTGATATGTTTGCACTCTATTTTTCTAATATTTTCATTTGACAACTCCTAAAAAATATCATTTTAAAAAATATTATTGTATTCTAAAATTTTATTTTTATTAGTTAATAATAATATTTTATTATTAAAAGTAGTTATATATTGGAATAGTAAAACAATGAGAAGTGTCTTAATTAATAAAAATAAAATTTTAGAATAAAATAATATTTTCTTAAGAGTATGAAATAAAAATGTTTAAAGAAAATAGGATGTAAAACATATTATCACCCAATAATTATAAAAATCTAAAGGTTTTGGTATAATTCTTTATTTACCAATATTCAAATAATACCGGACACTAAGAAACAAATAAAGATAAAAGAAAAAAATTAATAACAAAATTAAAATCCTTGAAATTTTAAGAAAAGTTAGTATTGATACCATGGACGTTATTTTTAATTTAAAATCTTAAAATAATAATTTTAAAAATATTTTTCTTTATATATTATTCATTTTATTTATCTTTAATCGTGAGACTTCTAAGTCCCTTTGAATTTCTAACGCAGTCATATAATTATAATTTTAAGTTTGGACTATAACCACAATTTAAAATCCCGAGGATAATATTTATCATCAACAACTCTTCTTTTGTACATTAAAGAAAGTGCTATTGCTAAAAAGAAAAATTTTTAGGTTTTTTAATAATAATGGACATGAGTATAAAAAAAAAGAAAAGAAAAAGAAAAATATGTTGTAGAAATGCTTTACATGATAAAAATAAAAATAATAAAGTTATGTTTGTTTTTTTTTTAAAACTTAGATGACACATTTAATATTTATTTAACATATAATATAAGAATAAAATAATTATAAAAAATAATTTTTATATTTTTTTTAGAAAAAAAATAATAAAAAATAATAGTGTCAACTAAACGTAAAAATTTGTGTATCAAAATATCATTTCTAAATAAAAGATTGCATTAAACTTCATTCAATTGTTTAAGTATACATATATCTGATAAACTTTCATGAAAAACATTCGGAAAACAAGCATCAGTTTCCCAAATCCTAGGAAACATTTCATGAAAAATCCACTTAAAAAATGATTAATCAGATTTAAATGAATCATTATCTGTAAATTATGTATCCCAGAGCAAATATATCCAGTAATTGATGCATCTCAAAGATCATGCAAATACATAACATGCAACATATAAATCTCCAAAGGGAAAGAACATAGCAGAAACTGTGATTAAAACTTGAAAAGATAAACTCAAAACTGGAAAATTTAAGAACCTGTTTGAATGAATGGAGAAATTATTTGAAGAGTTTGAGGTTTCTGTTCTTCTTCAGTAGCAGCCACCCTTCTCCATGTTCATGTTTTGTGGGTGTGAGTGTGGGCTTTTATGTTGGCCAAAAGTGGAAACTGACGAAGACTTCATGCCACTTTATTCAATAATCAATGCATGCTTTTGTTTGGTAGCTTGTTCAAACAATTATTTAAATATGATTGAGGACTTTAAAGTATATGGAAAACATAATATTCATAATTTTTTTTAGAGAGTGAAAGAAAAAAGAGATAAAGTTTTGCTTTGAAAGTAAAAATCTAAAGCTTTTTTTTCATTTTATCTCAGATTATTAAAGTGATCTTTGTTGTTGTACCAACTAGAGAGTCAATAATGTTTGGAAAATTAAAAGTAAAAATATTAAACAAAAGTAGAATTACTAATTTATATAAAATTTCAACATTATACTTTAATACTTTGAATAGGACAATGATGAACATTTCCAACTTTATCATAGGTGAAATAGTTTATGATATTTTTCTAATTTTTATGTAGGTGACGTCGATGCTGATCTATTATAGATACGTCACGTCGTCTTTGTATGAAAGAAACAAATTGGTCATATTTTAAAGAAACATATTTAATATATAAATTTTTAGTTTTATTCATTATTATAGGAAGCTTTTGGTCCATTCATATTAAATTATATATATATGTTTGTCTACAATTTCACTATTCTAATTTCATGCTTGCAATTGTTTTTTTCTTTTTTCTTTTTTTCCTTTTTATTATTGCATTTGGAACGATCACCCTGCATCTTGTTACTTGAAGCCCAACAAAATAAAACACTATTTTAATTAAACTCTATTCCTAGAGGACTATTTTCAATTAAGAATTTAATCTCTAAGTTAGTTTTATATTATTAATTGATTGGAAATTAATGTATGAAAGACAAAAAAATATGGCCAATTATCAGTAGAAACATAACATTGACTCATCATCCACCGATAAGATGGAAAGGAAAAGTGTAGAAACATCATTTCCATATAATAATTAATACTTTGCAAGAACATTTTCGATATATGCAAATTTCTCTCGAAACGTTTTTCCATAATATTATTATAGTGGGCGAAAAGTTTAATGTTTCTTATTGTTTCCTTTTTTATCTAGATTTAATTATTATCGATTAAATATGTTTATTTTTAAGTTAGAATTCGTATTATAGTTTTAAATTTTGATATACTTTCACTTCATAAATTGTAATTTATCTTAATCTAACTATATTAAATATTTTGTGTTAAATCAGTGGTAGAACTTAAACGAAAGTTAGGAATGCCAAATTAGATTTTTTATATATAAATCATTTTTTCTAATTTGAAAAAGGTTTTTATTTTCTCTTTTTATTTTCTTTACTAAAAAAAATACATATGATATAAAATCAAAAAATATGACTATCATTTAGTACAATAACCATAAAATACTACCATATTAAAGATTACTTAGCATGAATTTAACTATAGTTGAATTAATATTCGAGATAAGTTGTGGACTTGTCTTCTCCTATATCTAAAATAGTATATTAATCTAAGTCAACCTACTCGTATTGTGTAGTATCACTTCCATACTGAAAAATTGTACAATGCAAAACAAACAAAAAATCATCTAAAAGTCAATAAATGTTAGGAATCAAATTTCAGGAACAACTGCTTAAATTAAATATGATATTATTATATACATCTAGAATTTTATATGATCAATTTTGATTACAAATCAATATTTACGCATGCTCAAAAAGAATGAAACTTTTATATTTTGAAAGTAAACACTCATCTTTGCTAAAAGTTTATTCTGATGTCACTATAGTAATGAGAATACTAAACACATTCCGAACCATTATAAATAATGTTGAAATTTTTTTTCATTAGTCTTCCAATGTTTGAGCACATCAAAATCATCATTGTCTTTATCATCATCCATTTTTGAGTCATCTAAATAAGCATCATAGTTTAGTCAGGTTGACTAGTGTTGTAACTAGGAGTGATTGATAATACTCGTTTTATACCAAGAGTTGTTAGACTCGTTGTAATATTTATAAAAGATTAGTGGAACCAATTAAGAGATCTTAAGGGAGAACTAGACGTAGCTCAAGTTGGAGCGAACCAGTAGAAAAATGCCTCTGTTATTGCTTTTATTCTTTAAACATTTGCCTAAACACTATTAAACAATTGCATATCATCTAATCTTTGCAATAGTTGTTAAATGTTAATCTGCGAAAATTTTTTAAAAACACTATTCAAACCCATTAAAAATTACACATGATTTTAAGAAAAATTTTCTAAAATTAATATGAATAATATATAAATATATAAATATAATTTTAAAATATATTAAAAAATAAAATGAAAAAACTGAGAGAATCGTGATTTTTCTATCGTAATTAACTAAGTTTTACCATTACGTTAAATAGTGTTTTAGATTGATACATAAATTAATTAGAATGTGTGATATAATATAAACAATTCAAATATAAGTCTTCAACACTACTTAACTAGTAAATAAAAGTTAAAGTTGTTAAATTAAAAGGATTATGTTCATTAGATTTTAAAATTAAAATGTATCAAATAAGAATAAATTTTAAGTAATCTTTGATATGTATCAAAATTAAAATGTATCAGATAAGAATAAATTAAAAAATCAAATGTATCAAAGGATTATGTACATTTATTTCGACTTCAAATTTATTAAGATAATATCATTATCGTTAATTACAGTAAATATCAATATACATAAATATTTATTCTTTTAGTAAAAAGGAATAGAATATAAACACATTATCCTCCACAACAAATACATCAATTCAACAAAAAATGTTCAACCAACTCATTATAATTTCTAAAGTTTTCAGCACGTTTAAATCTTTGAAGAATTAGATCATAGTCTCATGTAAGCCACGTGTAAGATATGATAAATTTGCTGTGAACAAAGTAATATACATTTATGATATACTGTCCCTTTTATTCATAACATTTCTTCTGCTCGTCCTTCTTTCATCTGTCATCTGATATAAAATTCACTGCATTGCCTAACATATAACAGCTGTATATCACTCATAAATTCAATGAAGTTGCATCAAGTCTTTCTCAGTCAACCTATTTGGCCAACATAAAATGACAGAAATGGAGTGATCCTTTCAAGGGAAACAGATTTCCAATTTCTCTGCACTAACAGGTTCTGTGTTCATTCTCAATTTCTCAAGCTTTCTCCATTTTTTGTGTCTATTTTGGTGTTTTCATCATGGTTTCTACTGATTCTTTCCTAGTTGTTCTTTGGAGATTTGTTACAGATTCTAGTTATCTAAGAAACATAGTTCATTAGATAATTGTCGGTAGTCACATTTGTTGTTTCTTTACTTTGATATTAACTGGGGATGGCTTCTGAACTACCTTGTTTTCAAGAAGAACCCACTTGGAAGTGTTTTCATGATAGTTTTCTTCAAGAGATTTCACGTTAACCAGATATTAAATCAATGAAAATATTTAACAAATTAATATATAAATATAAATTAGATTTACATTCACTTTTTAGCAAACCATTTTACTTTTGACTATGTTGGTAGAGAGTGTTGAGAATCTAAAGATATAATTCTAAGTCCTACATTAAATTAAAAATATTAGATTAAAAATGAGAAAGTATAATCTCTTAAAGATTAGTTAACTTATTGTTTTAAGATTTATTATTTTAAGATTTATTGTTTTAAGATTTTTTAGAAGCGGGTTACCTTGCATGGGATTAACAAAATCTAGGTTAAATTTAAACCTAAAAAATGGAATATGGTTACATATCTTGAATGTGTACTGTATATGATTTTCCTTTTTTAAATATTTTGTACTATAGGTTACTAATATCATTAATAGAAATCCTTTAAAATTGTTAAATAATTTTTATTAAGATAAACTCCAAAATATACATCATCAACTTCTAATTAAGTATGATGATGGAGAGGAAGGTGTGAGTTTAATTATATATAGTCTCTCTCTCTCTCTCTCTTTTTAGTAAAATTTGTATTCTATTTCATTTTCATTCTCCTCACTGAAATTTGACAGACAGTTGGCATACATCCATTTTCTTGGGTTAACAGGTATATGTACCCACTATATATTTGTTAAATAATTTGTTTTATAATTAAAAATTAAAATAAAGAAAGTATGATATTATGAACAATTTATTATCATATTTTTTCTCTTTTAATGTCAAATATTAATAAAAAATTATATTTACATAAATTTCAAAATAAAATACTAAATAAATTAATTAAGAGTAACTAATTATTTAAAATAAAACAAGCTGAATTTTAATTTCGTAATGAATTTAAAAAATCTAACTATTGGTGATCAATATATAGGAGAAATATGAACTACATAATTCTCACTATTAAAGAAAACAATAATACTATACATTAATTTAATTTATTAATAACATATTTATTTAAAAAATGTCATAAAATATTTATATATATAAATATATATATATTAGAAGATGGTACTAAATGTATTAAATGGTGTGTTGTGTAGTCACAAATGTAGGTTTACTTTTCATTTATTCTTAATAAAGACAAAAATATTTATTATAGGAAGATAAGGTAATCATATATATTGAGTGTTAGGGTGGTGATACATAAATTTGTTTTTTTGCTCTGCGTATGAAATCATCTTTGGTAAAAATTATGATATTGTTTACTTTTTTATACTTTAAAAAATATTTTGTTTTAGTTTCTATTTTTCAAGAGTGTTAAAGTTAATTTTATGTGACAAACGGATTTGAGAAATAATATTATTTTAATTATATTTATATTATTTTAATTTAAAAGTATAATATATATTATTAAAAAAGAGTATTAAATAAATGTACTTAAGGAGACTGTAAAACAAAAAAAAAAAACTTTTTCTTTCGGGTTAGGTGGAGTCATTTACGAATTCGCGTGTTGCCGTATGCTGTATGGTTGAAACTTTGATTGAAGCCAAATGACTTTCACTGTACGATGATGACTTCGTACTTTGATTCTTGTTCCAGTGTATGTATATGTACTAAAGTCATGTGTCTGCAGATTCTAAGGAAATTGAAACTGGGTTGCTGCAACAATGGGCGTGCATGCTGGTTCTTCATCACATCAACTCAAATCTCTTGAGATGGTGAAACACGTGATCGACATTGGAGTCCCAGAAAAGCTAAGGTTGTCTGAGCATAGCATCTACAAGGTTCCATGCAATCTCCGAGATGTGAAGAAGGATGCATACACTCCTTACTGCATCTCAATAGGCCCAATTCACTTAGAAGGAGAAAACCTCAAAACAATGCAAGAACACAAGCTGAGATACTATCAATTCTTCTGGGATCGTGTGTCAAACGAAGAAGCCATGGAGAGCTACAAACACTACCTCCAGAACAAAGAACAAGAGATTCGACGATGCTATTCGGAGAAGTTCACATTGTCCACAGAGCAATTCGTAGACATGATGCTGTTGGATGCTGCGTTCATCATGGAGCTTTTCTTGAGAAACTGTGAGCCGAAATCACAATCGCTTCCAGACAGTGATGATCTCATCATGAAACAGTCCTGGCTCGCCCGGGACATCGCCAGGGACCTGATCCTTCTGGAAAATCAAATACCCTTTTTTGTTTTGTTGGAACTCTACGAAAAGGTTGTCCCAGATTACCAACGTAAGAAAGAACACACTGGCTTTGTCGATCTTGCGTTCGAGTACTTTGCATTCTATGACCCTCAGATGTGGCCTTTTTCTAATAACCAAGAAACCAAGAAAGGAAATTTCTGTTGCTCCAAGGAACCTTGTAAACCAAAGAGCATAGGTAGCAGCTTGAAGGATGCGGAACCAAAACACTTCACCGATCTGATAAGGTTCTCGTACCTTCCCACTAATAAAAAAAAAGGGCAAGCTTCTGATCATGTTCCAAGAACTGCAACAAAGTTGCAAGACTCAGGAGTGTACTTCGAGAAAGGTGGTGGGAAGGGAAAGCTACTGGACGTAACCTTCGAGAAGAAAAAAATTCTGAGTCTGTGTCTTTGTTTTGGTTGTATGCAATGCTTGAACCACTTCAAGGCACGTTTGAGGATACCCCAGTTGAAGGTGGACCACAACACAGAATGTCTGTTCAGGAACCTCATTGCCTTTGAGCAGTGCCACTACCCTGATGAGACTAATTACATCTGCAACTATGTCTCTCTCATTGATTCTCTGATACATACTCAGCTTGATGTGGAGTTGCTGGTTGAAAAGGAAGTGATTGTTCATGAGTTGGGGAGTCACAAGGAAGTGGCATCTCTTGTGAATGGTTTGTGCAAACATGTTGTGACAAACTCAACCTGCTACTATGTCACCATAAAGGATCTGAACGATCATTACAAGAACAAATGGTACCACACCATGGCTTCGTTGAGGTTGGTGTACTTCAGAGACCTTTGGAGAACAAGTTCCACTGTTGTCGGGATTGCTGTGCTCATTTTTGCTGTCTTCCAATTCCTACGAGCTCTTCGTGCTCTCTTCAAAATGTAAGTTTTTGGATTATTATTGCAATTTTTCTTTTCAATAAGTGTCGTTTGCTTTCAACTTTTTTGAAAACTTTCAAGTTTGGACATCTTCCATTGAATAAAAAGATGTTTGTGACAGTTTGAAACGATTACATTATATTTGACTTAAAAGTCGTATCAACATGAAACAATGTTTTTGTTTTCATAAGATCAAATTTAATGAAATCGTTTCAAACTTACTCGATTTGGTATTGCTGTGCGTGTAACTTTAATCTCCTCAGAATGTAAGTTTTTGGATTGTTGTTTCATCGTGTCGTTCATTTGGTATCAATATAATAAGCATATTTTTGTGTTGTTGTCTTTGAAATTATCTCCGATCCAAGTCGTTTTTATACATCGAGAATTTTTCAGTTCATTATACAGTCAAATTATCTCTGATCCAAATACTGATAGCTTTTATAAAGATAATGATAACTTCACAACTCTTTTTAACAATTTTTTAATAATAATAAATTATATGACATTATTTTATTGGTTAATATATTTAAAAGGATCAATCATAAATTATCATATAAACTATTATAAAAAAATTATAAAAAATTGTTAAAAAAATATTTTTCTTTTCATAAACTCGCAAATACGATTTCTAAGAACACCTGTAAATTACAGTAATTTCTAATAATCCCCACAAACAGTGATTATTACCTATCGTCAAAAATTATTTGTTGATAGTGTTTTTTCCAACTATTTTCTTATTAGTAGAAAATGTATATACCAATCATTAAAATTGTCGGTAATAAAAGAAAAATAAAACTCTTGATATAATTCTTGATTTTTTTGTAGTGTTTGAGCTTACAAATCACTTTTCAACCTAATGTACTCATTAAAAAAAGAGAGTATAGTATTGTTTTGATACCTAAAATAATTTTACATACATTTTAAATTTAACTTTTCCAATGATAAAAAAAAATTGATTGTCAACTTGTGCAAGTGATATATATAAAACATTTTCATAATAAAATTTTGGGTTAAATATGTTTTTAGTCCCTTAAGTATCACATGATTTTGTTTTTAGTTCCTACTCAAAACTTTGATGGTTTTTAATCCTTATAGTTTTGAAACTCTAACTATTAGTCCTTAAAATTGGACGGTGTTAAGTTTTAGTGGATGTGGCAAACGGCGATCTCAAATGAAATATCAACTGCTCTCTTCACTCTCTGCCACGTTGGATGTTTAAGTGTTGAACTGAGATTAAGTATGTTAATTACGTTCTTGATTGAAATCAGATTTAGGGTTCATAATTTGTCAAAGTAAATTTTTCAATTGGAGGAAAAATAGTTTTACTCGAAGCATTGTACTCGAAACCTTTCACTCGTGATATATGAACAAGAAGAATAATAATTATAGTAGCAATACAGGAGAAAAGAAAAATTACCGTTTTCCCTTCAATTGCAAATTGAAAGAGACGAATATTCTGTGACTGAAGGAACTAACTCTAGATTTTCCTCAGGATAAGGCTCGGGGCACAGGTATCTGCACTAATTCGCAACCTCGTATTTAAGTTTCACGCTTAAACATTAAAAAACACAACAAAATCTGCGGAAAAATCAAAATGAGACACATTACAGAATTCTTTAATTTAATTCTTTATTTGAGGGGAGCGGAAGGGGAAAAAATGACTTCAAGCGTGAAAGAATCTTGAAGAATGAAAATTGAAGGAAATGAGAGACGAACACGATGAAACGAAGGTTTAGGGTTTGGAAAAAGAGGAAATTGGAGGAGGTAGGAAAGCTGGATCGGAAAATGCAGTCCTCGACCATGGCGAAGTTAGGGGGCGGAACCAAAACGGCGTCGTCGACGTTCTCGACCTCCACGATCAACCCCATCGTTGGTTGTCCCAAGCCCAATGCGGTTTGTTTGAATCTCTCACGAGAACAATCCTTCGAGTAAAACTACTTTTCTCCCAATTGAAAAATTTACTTTGACAAATTATGAACCTTAAATCTGATTTCAATTAAGAACGTAATTAACATAGTTAATCTCAGTTCAACACTTAAACATCCAACGTGGCAGAGAGTGAAGAGAGTAGCCGATATTTCACGTGGCATCACCGTTTGTCACATCCACTAAAACTTAACACCGTCCAATTTTAAGGACTAATAGTCAGAGTTTCAAAACTATAAGAATTAAAAACCATCAAAGTTTTGAGTAGGGACTAAAAACAAAATCGTGTGATACTTAAGGAACGAAAAACATATTTAACTCTAAAATTTTTGTATTCAAAAAGAAAAAGTGAAATTGAAAGATAAAATAAGAAAAATAATTTTTCACACTACTTGCACTAATTAACAGTCCACTTTTAGAAATATTTTTTTCATTAAAAAAATTAATTTTGTATTTGTAAAAAAGTTGAAAGATAAAATAATAAATATAAAATATGCATAAAAATTTGTTGGGTGTCAAAATAATAATATTCATAAAATATATAACATAAATAACATAAATTGTGAACCCAAGCACGATTTACATAATTTTGAAAAGAAACTATCTAAATCAGTAATTTAAAAGAAATTGAACCATTTTGATTGCAAGTTTTCTAAAACAATTTTTATTTTTATTTGGAATAAAAAATTTGATAAGGTGGATGTCACTACTCTGAGTAAAAACAAGTAGGACTTTGACACTCTGTCACAGTGATTTAATATTTCCAATGAACACCAACTTTACTTTTAATATAATTAAAATCCCAAATCGTGTTTCACGCGATTCCCCTGTTCACACTTCACAACAGGGAGTGCACTCCAACTGTTTGCATTTATAACATTGCATAAATCTACTCGGTTAATCGTGGAAAAAGAAATCGATCTCATAGTTGGAACACAGAATTGATAGTCTGATAAAAAAAACAAGCATGCCTATCTTTCAATCTCAGTTGTTAGCATTTGTGTGGCAAAATTCTAAGATCATATCAATTTTAATATTTTGGTCGAAGCACACCAATGACCCTTAGAAAGTTTAAAACAGCAAACAAGAACACAGCAATTCCCACGATAGTTGAACTGAATCTCCAAGGATCACGGAAGTATACAGACTTCAGCATACCCATGTAGTGTTTCCAACCGCAGTTGTAGTGTTCGTTGAGTTCCCTTGTGATTCTGCCATAATAATTTGAAGTCACAACAACATGTCTGCAAAGACCATTTATCATTGTTGCTAATTCATTGTGGCTGCCAAGTTCATGCACAATTATTTCTCTGTCCACCAAAAGCTCTACATCATCTTGAGTGTGAATTAAGGAGTCAATTAGATTCACATAGTTGCATATGAAAGGCTGGTCTGAATAGTGGCACTGCTCCAAAGCAATGAGGTTTCTTAATATACATTCTGTCACCTGGTCTACCTTCAAATGGGGTATTTGCAAACGAGATTTGAAACATTCAGTGAATGGTAAGCAACCAAAACACAAGAACCAGCTCAGAATTGGAGATTTCTCAAACTTTATATCCAAATAGTTCCTACCTTCAACAGTTTCAAAACTAACACCTGCTTCATCCAACTTTGTTGCAGTCCTCAGAACACATTCCACAGCACAAGGAGTGAAATGTTGTGATGAGTTCTTATGAACCTGGATTTGTCTAGGAAGGTAAGTGTATCTGATCAAATCAGTGAAGTTTAAGCAAGATTCACAATTCTTGATCATCTCCACCTTTTGAATTGACTTGTGTGGATAATAGTCTTCAAAGTAGTTAAAGGCAAGTTCAGTGAACTTGAGACAGTTTTCCTTGGTGCCATTATCTCCAAGGATGACCCTTGTGTGCAACTCCTCCAACACAAACATGGGAAGCTGGTTTTCTAGCAGTAACAAGTCACGTTGAGTCATCTTGCAGATCCATGATGTGGTGAACATCAAATCATTCTTCTTCTCAGATTTGTTTGCTTTTCTCAGAAACAGTTCCATGATGAAGACTGAGTCTAACAGGATCATGTCCACAAAATTTTCATTCTTGTGGAGTTCTGGCTCGGAGTAAGAGTTCCCTATCTTTTCTTTGTTCTCTTCAAGGAAGACTTTATACTTTGACAAAGCTAAAGACTGCCTCTGAGATAAAGTTTTCCAGAAGGCATGAAAATACCTCTGCTTCAGTTTTTCCTGCTTCAGCTCTGGCTTTTCACTGTGAAGAGGGCCTATTGAGATGAAATATGGTGTATAGGCTTCCACATTCAGTTTATGGAGATGGTGAGGAACCTTGTAGATGCAACATTGATCATGCATCTCAGGCTCAATTTGTTCAGGAATGTTAACTATATGCTGAATCTGAGGTTTATTTTCAGGTAAAGCAGTAAAAGTAGTAGCAGAAGTCATTGAAACACAACTTTTT